TAGAACAAAAAAGCAGAAAGTCAATATGAAGCATTAAAGAAATATGGAAATGATTAACAGCACAAGCAGAAAGTGGAAAGATGGATCCAATTATTGGAAGAGATGAAGAAATTAAACGAGTTATTCGTATTTATCAAGAAGAACAAAAAATAATCCAGTATTAATAGGAGAACCAGGAGTAGGTAAAACAGCAGTAGTTGAAGGACTTGCACAACGAATAGTTAAAGGAGATGTTCCAAGTAATTTACAATGTCGAGTTATTGGATTAGATATGGGAGCATTAATAGCAGGAGCACAATATAGAGGACAATTTGAAGAAAGATTAAAAGCAGTAATAAAAGAAGTTAAAGAGAGTAAAATACCTATTATATTATTTATAGATGAAATTCATACAGTATTAGGAGCAGGAGCAACAGGAGAAGGAGCAATGGATGCAGCTAATATTTTAAAACCAATGTTATCAAGAGGAGAATTACGATGTATTGGAGCAACAACAATAGAAGAATATAGAAAATATGTAGAAAAAGATCCAGCATTTGAAAGACGATTCCAACAAGTTTATGTAAAAGAACCAAGTGAAGAAGATACATTATATATTCTTCGAGGAATACGAGAGAAATATGAAAATCATTATGGATTAACAATTACCGATTCAGCATTAGTTTCAGCAGCAACATTAAGTAAAAGATATATCAATGGAAGATTTCTTCCAGATAAAGCAATTGATTTAGTTGATGAAGCATGTGCTACATTATTTACACAAAAGAATTCACAACCAGAAGAAATAGATAAATTAGAAAGAAGAGAAACACAATTAAATGTAGAGAAAATAGCATTAGAAAGAGACATTAAAGAAAGTGATGAAGATCATAATAAAATGATTAAAGAAAGACTACAAGAAATTGAAAAAGAATTAAGTGAAAATAAAGAGAAATTAACAAAATTACGAATTAATTATGAAAAAGAAAAAGGAGGAAGTGAAGAAATGAAAGAACTTGCAACAAAAATAGAAGCTATGAAACATAAAGCAGAAAGTACTAAAGATTTAGAAGTAGCAGCTGATTTAAAATATTATGCAATACCAGAAGCAGAAAAAAAGAATGAAAGAATTAAAGGAACAAAATAAAGAAACAACAATGATATCATTACAAGTTACACCAACACAAATAGAAGAAGTAGTTAGTAGATGGACAGGAATTCCTGTTACTAAATGAATCAAACAGAGAAACAAGATTGATGAAATTAGAGAGACTACATAACGAGTATAGACAAATGAGCAGTACAGCAGTTAGTGAT